GGGTAGGTGGTTCCTGTGGAGGTTTTGCCTATGGAGGTTGTCCCCGTGGAGGTGGTTCCTGTGGAGGTGGTGGCTGTGGAGGTTGTGCCTGTGGAGGTGGTGGCCGGGGAGGGCGTTCCCGTGGAGGTGATGGCTGAGTAGGCAGTGGCCGAGGAGGTGATGCCTGGGGAGGTGGTTCCTGTGGAAGTTGTGCCTATGGAGGTTCTGCCCATGGAGGTGTTAGCTGTGGAGGTGGTTCCTGTGGAGGTTGTGCCCGTGGAGGTCGTGCCTGAGGAGATTGTTGCTAAGGAGGTTGTGGCCACGGTCGAGGGCCTAGGCCCCGCCGATGACCACAGGGTGCTGGGCGTGGAGGCCGAGAAGGCTGGGGAGAATGTGCTGTGGGGTGTGGGCATGGGTGTCGAGGTGGGCAGGGGACTGGTGGTGCTGGCACAGTGGCTGTAGTCACAGCAGCGCACGCGGATGTGGTAGTTGAGGCAGGTCTGGCCTGACTTCTGCCTGTGGTTTCTGCAGATGAGACCGTAGCGCACATCACACTGCACCACCTGTCCCAGGAGCCCCACGGACACGTCTGGGAAGAGCACAGCCTCGCATTCAATGGCTGCGGGCTCCAGGCACAGCTGCCCGCCCACCTCCATGATGTGGTAATAGGTCTCGATGTCGCCCCCAAAGCGGCCAGGCTGGGGCCGGTCGCTGTCCAGCCAGTCCGTCCAGCGGCAGGCAGGCTGGCAGCTGGTGGGCACGACGGTGGAGGCTGTGCTCGAGGTCCTGGGGCGATGGGTGGGCAGGGACAGGGCCGTGGTGCTGGGGGCCAGTGTGGTGGCCGAGGTGGGGCTCGGTCCTGGGGAAGACCCTGTGGTGGTGGGCGGGGTGCTCAGGCAGTCGCTATAGTTGCAGCAGAACACGCGGATCAAGTAGTTGAGGCACAGCTCGAACTGTCCCACCTGGTCGCGGTTCCTGCACACCAGCCCGAAGCGCACGTCGCACTGGACCACCTGCCCCACCGCCTCCAACGGCTGGTCCGGCTCCTTCTCGGAGCGGCACTCGATGTCCTGGGGGTGCTCACAGAAGGCGTAGCCAGCTGAGCGGATGACAGCATAGGTCTCAAAGTCCCCGCCGTCGGGGCCAGGGATGGGGTAGTCCTCATCGAACCAGTCTGTCCAGGCGCACCGAGGCACACAGCCCTTGCTGGTAGAGGGACGGCTGGAGGGGAGGGTGGTCCCAAGGGTGCTCCCGGAGCTGGAGGTCAGCAGGGGGGCCGTGTGAGGGGTGCTGGTCAAGGGTGGCCTGGTGGATGTGGTGAGGGTCCCAGAGGTGGGCTGCCCCGTGGTGTGGAAGGGGCTGGTGGTCGAGGCTGGTTGGGAAGAGGGACTGGAGACAGAGAAGGTGAGGCCACTCTGGGTCGTGGAGACGACCCTTTGGGTTATCCTAGGGGAGGTGGTGGCTGTGGTGGAGAGTCCTGTCACCAAAGATGACCTCGTAGCCAGTGAGGTAGTGGATGGGAAGGTGGTGCCCAGGGAGGTGGTGGCTGCCAGGGAGGTGGTGGCCGGGGAGGAGGAGCCGGAGGGCGCGGCTGTGCTGGGACAGTGGCGGTAGTCGTCGCAGCAGAGCACGCGCACGTTGTAGTTGAAGCACATGTTGAACCTGCCCACCTGGTCCTCGTTCCTGCAGATCAGCCCCGTCTCCAGGCTGCAGATCAGCACCTGCCCAATCTGGTCGATGCTCACCTCGGGGTAGTTCTCTGCCCGGCACTCTATCTTCTCTGGCGCCCCGCACATCTTGCCCCCTGCAGCCCTGATGTTTTCTAAGGTCTCTATGTCCCCGCCTGCGACCCCTGAGATTGGAAAGTCCACGTCAAACCATTCTGTCCACTCGCACTTGGGTTGACAGCCAGTTGTGCCCTGGCTGGTGGTGCCCCCAGCTGAGGTGCTGGGTGGTGTCTCTGACCTCAGGCTGCTGGTCTCAGTGTAGGAGGTGGGCAGCTGGCTCGTGTGTGTCGTCAGCACCGGGCCTGTGGTCAGGGGCTCTTTGGAGACGGTGCTGGCAGTGCCTGTCAGGCGAGCTGTGGAGGTTTGTGCTGTTGGGGCTGGTGTGGGTGTCTGTGAGGGGCGCCATGTGCCTGTGGCCCCTGTGGTCCCCGTCAGGCTTGGGCGAGTTGGAAGGATGGACGTGGCCCACCCTGGGCTGGTGGGTGGCGTGGAGCTTGGAGGAGCCGAGTAGCTGGGGGATGTCGGTCCTTTCGAGGGGATGGGCACGGCCGTGGTGCTGGCTGGAGGAGTCCACGTCACCTCTGGGCTACTGGGCTGTGGCTTTGAGGACCACAGTCGGGGGACTCTGGTGGCCGTCCCCGGTGTCGTGGCCGGTGGCAGGGCGGAGGTGTGTCCCCGGCAGTGTTGGGTACTGCAGCACAGCACTCGGATTTTGTAGTTGTGGCACATCTTGAACATGCCGTCCTGCTCCTCGTTCCAGCACACCAGGCCGAAGCGCACGTGGCAGTGCACCCTCTGGCCCACCTGCTCCAGCGTCCAGTTGGGGAAGTTCGTGGCCTGGCACTGTATGTCCTGTGGCCGCTCGCAGATGTCCCGTCCCGCACCCCTGATTTTATCGTAGGATTCGATGTCCCCACCAGCCCTTTCAGACTTGGGGTAATCCTCATCAAACCACTCTGTCCACTGACATCGGGGCTGACAGGTGGTGGTACCTGGGCCCACGGTGGGCAGGCTGGGCCTGGTCTGGGAGGTGAGGGCCGCCGTCGACGGGGAGCTGGGCACTGCTGGAGGGGTAGTCCCCTCCGTTACCCTGGTCTGGGTGGAGGGGGATCTGGGGGGCTCTGCAGTGGTGCCGGGGGAGGGCTGGGGGCTGGTGCCTGGGGCTGGGGAGGGGCCGCAGGGCACGTAGTCGCAGCACAGAACTCGCAGCTCGTAGTTGAGGCAGAGTGGGGGGCTCTGCTCGCTGTTGACACACGTCAGCCCCCGCGTGCGGTCACAGGCCACCTTCTGGCCCAGCTCCTGCAGGGGTGTGTGGGGAAGCCCCTCCGCTCGGCACTCGATGTCGGCCGGCGCGCTGCACACCTCGTACCCCTTCTGCCTCAGGCTCGCAAATGTTTCAAAGTCTCCACCCCCCTCGCCCGGCTCAGGACGGACGCCGTCGTACCAGGCGGACCAGCGGCAGACCTCACGGACACACACGGTGGAGAGGCTGGGCACGGGGCCTGGGAGGGGCGGAGAGGGGCCCTCGCTCAGCCTCTGCTTCTCCTTGCTTCGCAGGGAGGAGGCGACTGCGGACCCTTTCCCCGGGCCCCGCGGGCCTCCCCTGGCCTCCTTGAGGGCCGTTTCCGATTTTGAGGGAGTGGCTGGGGTGGGCTGTGCTAGGGACGGGACAGGGTCGGGAAGGTTTTATTGTCCCTAGGGGGCAGTCCTGTTAGTCACTGTGCCTCCTGGGGAGCTCCTGGAGACACGCAGGCAGTAGGGGCCTGGGGAGGCAGGTCGGCAGGTTTGGGCCCAAGGAGTCCCTGGCATCTGGGCCTCCTGCACCGGGTGCCCTGCGGGTCTCTCCTGGGAACCCAGATGTGGCTGGGCCTCGGGACAGCCAGGCGCAGCTTACCCGTCGTGGGGAGGGGCGTCGAGATGGTGGTGAAGGTGAACGGCGGCGTTGTGGACGGGGTTCCGGGACATTCCACGGTCCTCCGGATAATCGTTCCATTGTCTCCACAGATAGCGCTCAGGCAGCCGCCGAGGCCGTCTGTCGTGTTGTAGATGACGTCTCGGTAGCCGTAGGTCCTGCCCTCGTAGGTGCACGTGCAGGCTGGTGCGGGGCAGGCATCGGTCACGGAGCGCCCCAGCCCCCGGCCCCGCCGGACCCACCCAGCCCGCCCGCCCCGCCTTACCCTCAAGGCTGTGAGTGCACCGGATGCCGCTGGGCGTGCAGTTGCTGGGAGGAGGGGAGAGCGGAGCTGAGCGCCTGGTGGGCAGCCCCCCCGGCCCCTCCCCAGCACCCCCACGCCCCACCCCACGCACCAGCTCTGGCAGTTCTCCGCCGTGGGGACCCTCGAGCCAACATCGTAGTATCTCTCGTCTTCGTCGTAGCAGCCACACCAGGCCACACACCTCATCTGGTCCTCGCTGAAGAAGGGCTTGCTGGGCGGGCACTTTGGGTAGCAGCCTAAGCACGGCGGGAGAAGGCCACTATGTAGCCTGGGCCGGCCCGGTGCTGCCCAGGGGCTCGCCGTGTGCCGGTCCTTGGCCCTTGCCCCCGTGCACGCTGCAGGGACCCAGGGAGGTTCCCCCCAGGACAACCCACCCCTCACCTTCCAGGCTGGGCAGGTCGACCAGGCAGCGCCCACTGGGGTTCCGGCAGGTTCGCAGGCAGGGGGCCCCGCAGGGCTGGTAGTGCCACTCACACTCCCCGTGTGGGTTGTAGTAGTCGCAGAACAGGGCTGGGCAGGGGGGCAGAGCCTCAGGGGGTGCCTGCTGGCCCTCCCCAGAGTGTGCACGGGCAGCCCCGCCACACCGGGCTGAGTGCCCAGGGCAGTCCCGGGCTGGTCCCAGGCGTCAGGGCCTGCGGGGCTGGCCGGTGCTCTGCCCTTGGAACTCCTGTCCCTGAGGAGCCATCTCGGGGGGAGCGCCCCGTCCGGTGTTTTTGCACAAGTCTGCATTTGTGCATATGGATGTGCATACATACGTGTAGACCCACACGTGTTTGGTGTCTGTGTACGTGTGCGGGTCAGGCCCCGGGAGACTGCTCTGCCTGCCCCTGCCTCCCGCCCCCCTTCAGCACCACGGACAGAGCCCCACTCACGGCAGACGTCCGGGGTCCTCCAGGACACGCAGAGGCCAGCGTCGCGGCAGGCCTGGGCGTAGGCGGCCACGGCCGTGCAGAAGCACTCGCAGTCGCCCCCCGAGTCGCAGGCGCACGCGTCGCTCACACAGGCCTCGTAGTACTTAGTGGAGTCCACCTGGGGGCGGGGCCGACATGTGGCTCAGAGAGGAGGACACGTCCCACCCCCGGCCAGGGGTCAGCTGGCCTGAGTGAGTCTCTGAGGCCACTTGTGTTTCAAATCGCAACCCCAAGGAGCGGACAGCCCTGACTTCTGGGGCTATGAGTGCCTCCGGCGTGTCCCAAAGGGACCTGCCACAGCACTACCTCTCCTGCCCACCTGTATACCTGCCCACCTGTGCCCCTTCCCACCTGTACCCCTTCCCACCTGTGCCCCAGCCCACCTGTAGCCCTGCCCACCTGTGCTCCAGCCCCCCTGTACGCCTTCCCACCTGTGCCCCAGCACCACCTCCCCTCCCCACCTGTGCCCCAGCCCACCTGTGCTCCAGCCCACCTGTGTTCTAGCCCACCTGTGTCCCTGACCACCTGTGCCCAGCCCACCTTCCCATCTGCCCACCTGCTCACTTGCCTATGTGCCCACCTCTGCACCTGCACTTGTGCCCCTTGGATTCTTTCATCACGTGAACCTGGTCATTGGGCTGCAGGTTTCACACCCAGGTGGGGCACAGCACCTGGCCTCCCCCTCCTCTCGCCCTGACCCTTGGCCCTCCCTGGCCGCTCCACTCCAGCCGCGCTGGCTTCCTGCCCCCGGGCCCTGCCTGTGGCTGAGCCGTCCCTGCGATTGCTACTCCCCGTGGCCCATGGTGGCTTCCTGCTCAGCGCCTCCGACACCTGTCCTGCATGTCCCCACCCTGCTGCCTCCCTCCCGGGGGTAGGCTCTGTGGAAGCAGCTTTGTTCCTCAGTCACTGGGGTGAGCTTAGCATTCAGAACGTGCCGGACTTCCAGGCCCACAGAGAACATGCCTGGAGGAAGGCGCGGGTGACTGCACGGCGTCTGCCTTCCAGACCTGCCCGCCCCGTGAACCGTGCTGTTGGCCCTGTCCCGAGAACTGGGGGCTGTTTCCTTAGGGTGAGGAGGGCGAGCCCCGAGCTCAGTCCTCCCAGGCAGCAGACCCTGGAGTGGACCAAGGTCTCACTCCTCCTTCCTTCCTTTCTGAGACGAGCTCTCGCCCTGGCGCCCGCTGGGGTGCAGTGGTGGGGTCACAGCTCCCTGCAGCCGCAGCTCCTGACCTCAGGGGATCCTCCCGCCTCGGCCTCCCACAGTGCTGGGATCACAGGCCTGAGCCACTGCACCCGGCCCCGGGTTCTTATTTTTGCCACCACAGGGCACTGTCTGAATCCGTGGTCAGCCGTGGCACGCCACAGAGGACGTCGGCCACCCACGCAAGGGAGCAGCCGTGACTGGCGGTGAGAGTGATTCAGGGGCTCTCGGCACAAGCCAAGGCGTGCATACACGTGTGGCCCGCCCTCTCCTCACTGCCATCGAGGTCCCGAGTTACAAAGCTGTGACCCTAAGCGGACACTCGAGCATTTGTCATAATAACAGGAAACTGCTTTTGGAAGAGTCTCTACCGAAGGCCAATCGCCGAACCCTCCGCAGCCGGACTGCCAGCCCCTGCGATGCTCCTGCTCGTGCCGGGGACTGGGCAGATCCGGGCGTCCCGGGGAGGGTGGCCAGGGCTGCACTGGGGACAGCTCTGTGCCGGCGACAAGGAACACAGGTGCCGGGCTGGTGGGAGGCCCAGACCCAAGACCTGAAAACCCCAGACTGGTGCTGTGTGCTCAGGGTCGAGACCGTCCCCAGAGACCTGCTGTGCACCCACCCGGCCTGGACGCGGCTCCCGCTGGCCCCCGCCCGCCAAGCCCCACCTGAGAGCGGCAGGCGGCAAAGGTGGCGCCGTTGATGATGCTGCACTGCTTCTGCGCCCAGGACTTGCGGTACGGGTTGGCGGTGCAGGGGTCCTTGGGCGCCGGGGCGTCCGGGCAGTTCGGGGAGAACTTCCAGCTGTTCCCGAACTCCAGGGCGTTTCC